TGTCAGCACCATCGCGCCACCGCCACCACCGCTGCCCTGGCCTCTCCTGGGTGTATGGCATCCTCCCCTCTCGGGGCTCCGGCGGCGCGCGGCGGCTGCCCGAAAGTGGGCTCAGGCATGGTGCCGCGGCTGCAGGACTCGCCTCTGGCGCCCCGCGCTCTGCCGCCGTCTGCGCGGCGGAGCTGGCCCAGCTGCAAATAAACAGCCGTCCCCCCGCCTTCCCGGCCATCTCCACCTCCTCCGCCCCACTGCGCATGCCCCACTCGCTCTCGACTCCAACCACCCCCACCCCACCCCCTAATCCCGGTACGAGCACTGGTTTCCCCTCACACACCCTACCACCTCGCTGCCTCGCCCGGACTCTCCGCAGCGCTCAGCCCGCAAGTGCACGCATCCGAAGATGGCAAGAGTTCCACACAGATGAAGCGCTGTTCGCGGCCCTGGACCTGCCCGGTGGAGTCTAGGAAAAGGGACCCCAGATCCCACCTGGTGTGCCTAGCTGTGCTTATCCCCCCATTTCCCCTCCTTCACTTCTGGCAGGCACCTCTGGGCCGGAGACCAAGACGGCCTGAGCAGGTGCGCACCGTGAAACCCCCATTCCCTACCCTTCAGAGAGAGAAAAGTGGCTGCTGCTTCCCCGGAAGTTCCCGGCTTTTCAGCACCCCGGACAACAGCAGCAGCAGTGCTGGGGAAGACACTCGCTCCGCACATGCACCCGCGCGGCTTGCCCCAGCTCTAATCTCCTGTCCTGGGGGTTTCTCTCACCCGCCCGGCCGGGAGTCGGGCAGTTCCAGCCTCTGGGGGAGGAGCGCGGCTGGTGACTCCTGGAGAATACCACGGGGAATGGATCTTCCAAAAGCACCTTTCCGAAAGCCAAGAGAAAGGACTCCCTGGCCAAGGACTTCCTGCCCGCCCTTCCCGGGTTTGTTCGGAGCCGCCACTCGGGCTGTTTTCCTTAACCGCCCTTTCCTCTGCCAGAACTTACACAAAATTCAGGTTCAATTTTTGATTTGGGTCTCGGGACAAATTGGTTTCTGAAACATTTATCTCTGTTTATTTTGTTTAAACCCTTGAAACAATCCGGGAGATGCTGAACAAATTCTTTTTCCTTCTCATCTGAGTGGATCACTGTGGTCAGATTATGATTTCCTAGACTTTGAATGTGCTTGAACTGTTTGTGCTAATATGCTGCACTCGCTCCCGTCTCCACCCACCCCACTCCCCAATTCCGGGACTGGCGTCAGTTATAAGGCTTCTGGCGTTGGCTTCTAAACTTATGTCTTTTTGAAAGTTTATTTTCCTTTTTAAACACTAATTGCAATATATAAATAAATATTCTAGAGTGATGTGTACTAGAATTTCTCCAGGCTTGAAAATCTGTTAATTCGTTCAGACCCCTTATCTTTGTAGTTGCCTAGAATAGGACACATCCAGATATAAAAACTTAAATTACCATTTTATTTCATTCCCATCCTTCCAAAATCATTTAAAAGCTCGTTTATCTTCAAAAACTGCAATGATAAAATAAAAGGCAGAATTTGTTTTTAAATGACTGAGCAGTTGTGTGGCTTTTTCCTATCCAACTTTATTTCACAAAAAGAATTCAAGACAGCATATATGAGCAGTTGAAAACTCAATGAATGAGACAAACTTCAAGTTGGGCTACATTTCACTCATTTTCACTTTGTTCTTTGGTACTGGAAAATTAGTGACTAAGAAGCAAAGTTTGAAAATCCAAAGCATGTTTTCATCCTTTCATCAAAACTTTTTCACCCTACGTAGCCTTAATATATAGCTCCCACACACACCTGAGTTACCATCTCCCCACAAAGCACATTACAACCTTTCTTCTTTTCCTCAGCCATCATTTTAAAACATATATTAAAGACATACACTCTGTGCTACATTGTTCTAAGTACTGGGCTGAATGACCAAAGGTACTCAAATTATGTGTGCATCTGTCTTTCTTTGTGTAAGATTAACAGCATGTAAGTCTAGCTTTCAAAGTTAACAACTATCTTAAAAACACACATACACACACAAAAACATTGCCTGGAGTGATTCTGATGGTGATCCAGTGGGACAGAGTAGAACTGCCCCGCAGGGTTTCCAAGGCTGTAATCTTTATGGAAGCAAACTGCCACATCTTTCTCCCAGGTGGTACACTAAAATAATGAAATTATCATTCCTGAAGTATTAGAAGGTATAATAGTCAATGTATCAATCTATTAAAGAGAGCATTTTAGAGACAATGGCTTAAACCAAAAGAGTGACTCAACAGATTTCATAAAGAACAGAGCTTTTCTCCTTCCTCAATTCACCCTTGCAAGAGGGCCCAGCCCTGCCAACCCTCTTACTAAATTGTTTTCCATTTCTGATTTTAAAAAAAGTGTCAAAGTTCTCCATAAAAATGGAGAGACCTGTCTGAGAGTTCTGAGGAGACAGCTAAAAGGGAAAGAGAGAAAACAAAGTAATATTCCGGGCTTCTGAGCAGGTTCATTGGTGTCTCCTATTTAGTTCAGATGATGAAATTGGAATCAATTCAATTTAAAATATTAAGATAACTTAAGTAAATGACAAGCCAATAAGTACTTTAAAAAATAATAATATTTTTTTTAACCCCTTCCTGTGGCTTCCAGCTAAACAAATGTCAGGCAAATGAGCTAAACATTTACATTAGGTAGATACACTCCTTGGAGAGATCAATCATGGGAGAATAGAAGAGCTGTATATGCACAGGGGGAGAGCTTGAGGGGCAGGAGTGCATGGAGGGAAGGACACAGGGAAGAGGTAACTATGGGGAAAAAGTGGAAAGGGAGCTGTTACATGATGGGAAATTGCAGTCAATGTCGTGAGACGAAGCGTATGTGAGCTGCTGTATGGAAAGTGAATTTACTATGTAAATTTTCACCCAAATCACAATAAAAATTTAAAAAAATTAATTAAAAAAAAAATCCATCCTGGCCCACTCTGTGTTACAGGAAAAAGAGTGTAAAACTGCTGTTAGAGAGGTTTATGTTGATATGCGTAACCATCTCTGCTTCTCTCTTAAGGGTGTAAAACACTTATGTTGGCTAATAAAGGGGCCCAAAAGGAAATTAGATTTAATTCATGTTACTTAGTCTCTGATTATTTTTAAAGGACTTATAAGTGGAGCAGTACTCTCACCTAAGATGCCTTTTGTCCACTCAGAGCAATTTGAAACATAAATTATTGCTTAAGTGTCTCTTTGAGGCTCACACAGATTGTTACTCATGTAAATAAGGATGGACTATATCCCTGACAGAAATTAGGACAGATCTAAAAATAAATCAAGGGCAAGTAGATATTTTAATAAAACAAATTGCTGACCATTGTGCTTTTTCATCCAAGGCGCTGGTGATGCAGTGGTTGAAGTATTCAGTTGCTAACTAATAGGTTGGCAGGTCAAACTCACCAGGCACTCTGAGAAAGATGAGGTAGTCTACTTCCCTAAGGATTTACAGCCTTGGAAAACCTATAGGACAGTTCTACTCTGTCTTATGAGTCTGAACTGACTTGATGGCAGTGGGTTCGGTTTGGTGTGGTACTTTTTCACCTAAAAATATATCCAATTCAGGGACATTCCATATCACTGATAAATGAACAACTGCAATGTTACACAGGCAGAAAGTCAGCAAAAGGACTAATAGTATAATTTATGTTAAAAATAAAAATTGTGTGTCTAGTTATTTAAATATTACCTCTTTTGAAGAAAATGAAGAAAGAAGAAAATTAAAATACCCCACCCTACCATCCAGAGATAGCCCTTCTAAACATATAGGTGTATTCTTTCTAGTCTTTCATCTATTCATAGAGATGTGTTTTCTTTAATACAGGTTGGTCTCATGCTTTATCTACTATTTTGTAAGATAACTTTTTTCCAAGTCATTACACATTTTTATGTCATTAATATTCCATCTACATGAATATTACACACCTTGAGATATCAAATTATAACATGAAAAGATATATAAGGGAGCTCTGGTGGTATAGTGCCTAAGGCCTTGACTGCTAACCAGAAGGCTGGCAGTTGAAACCCACCAGCCACTCCTCGGAAGGAAGGTTGGGCAATCTACTTCTGTAGTGATACTGCCTCGGAAACCCAAGGAGAAGTCACTATGAGTTGGAGACAATTCGACCACACATAACAATAACAACAAAGATATATAAAAGTTGTATAATATTTTATAGAGGTGCCAAATTTAGCCTATCAACTTCCTATTTTGGCTATTTAAATTGTTTTGAATTTTACTTTCTTGGGGAAAAAAAGAAAGTTGTATTGCATATCAAACTCAGGATTTTTTTTTTTCACCATGCTAGTACCATAATGTTCGTAGAAAATTATCTGTTACTAATCATATTCTGGGGATTATTGCCTAAGAAGACACTACAATCCTAAATTTCAATTTTTATTTCTATTCCATACAGGTCCATCACAAAGCCAAATCCAAGTCCATTACAGCTGAGGCTGTAATGTGTGCACCCACACTGAACACCGGAGTTCCATGGTTACCAGGAAACCACAATTCACACCATGCACTCTCTTGGCATCTTTGTTCTTTGCCCAAAATGTAATCCTCTGAGATTCAAAATAAAGACAGATCTTCTCCTGAATTATCACCACCATGATTTCTATCCTATTACCCATACTCCCATATATCACTCTTTATCTTCTTTGTCCTATGGAGCTTCTATTTTACAAAAAATAATCTCTTCTATATCCTTAGCCTCTTCCTAGAATGGTCCCATCACATGTTGACTGTGATAAAACCTTGCTCTTCCCAGAGATGCTACTCTCTAACAGCCCTCTCGAGAGGATTTAAGCATCCCCAAATAC